CACTGTGTTAATCTCTTCTAAAGTTATCCCGGCATCGAGTGCAGCAGCTGCCCCCGTCTAGTTTAGGAAGTTCACGTTCAGTGAGAAAGCTTTCCATAGTTTGTGGATCAGTAGCATCGTATTTCGATTGATATAGCTCTGAGTAAAACTGCGCAAAGCATTTATTAATATCCTGCGGATCTATTACTATTTTACCATTCTTGTCTTTTATTTTATGAATAGCTCTAGATGCCTGTACATGCCTTACCTGTCTTGCTAATAATTTGTGGTTTGTCACCCAGTTCAAAATAACTTTGTTGCGTTCTAGAAAGTAAAGACCCCACCCATTTCGAAAGGATAGTATTGTATTCATATTTCAACTTTGATCTTCTCAAGGACTGAATTCGAGGAAGTAGTTCTAAAAACGTTCTCCTGTTCCCCGAACTCTCTTTCAGACCCTCACAGCTCCATGGTGCTTGCCTATGGAGCTGTGAGGGGAACGGCACCTCCGTACCTTCAGGCTCTGATCAGTCCCTACACCCAAACGAGGGCATTGCGTTCATCCACCTCTGGCCTGCTGGCTCCCCTTCCTCTGCGGAAGCATAGTTCCCGCTCAGCCCAGTCAAAACTGTTCGCTGCTCTGGCACCCCAATGGTGGAACAAGCTCCCTCACGATGCCAGGACAGCGGAGTCACTCACCACCTTCCGGAGACATTTGAAACCCCACCTCTTTAAGGAATACCTGGGATAGGATAAAGTAATCCTTCTACCCCTCCCTTACCCCAACCCCCCCCCCCCCAAAAAAAAATGTCAACATCCCCCGTGTCGTTAGCTCAGAGGAAAAAAGCAATCTGCTATTTCAAATACTGACAAAAAGTCTCATCTTTCAACAACTGTACATGCTTTTCTTCCACCACCTTGTTTATGTCAATTGACTCAGTTTTAAGTGTATATTTGGCAGAGGTGTGGACTCTAGTTCTTCTCTAGATCTTGCGTGGAGCCTCAGATCGAGGGAGATTATCAGTGGTCTTGTATGTCTTCCATTTCCTAATAATTGCTCCCACAGTTGATTTCTTCAAACCAAGCTGCTTACCTATTGCAGATTCAGTCTTCCCAGCCTGGTGCAGGTCTACAACTTTGTTTCTGGTGTCCTTTGACAGCTCTTTGGTCTTGGCCATAGTGGAGTTTGGAGTGTGACTGTTTGAGGTTGTGGACAGGTGTCTTTTATACTGATAACAAGTTCAAACAGGTGCCATTAATACAGGTAACGAGTGGAGGACAGAGGAGCCTCTTAAAGAAGAAGTTACAGGTCTATGAGAGCCAGAAATCTTGCTTGTTTGTAGGTAACCAAATACTTATTTTCCACCATAATTTGCAAATAAATTCATAAAAAATCCTACAATGTGAATTTCTGGATTTTTTTCTTCTCAATTTGTCTGTCATAGTTGACGTGTACAGGCCTCTCATATTTTTAAGTGGGAGAACTTGCACAATTGGTGGCTGACTAAATACTTTTTTTCCCCCACTGTATTTGTACCTTTGCTTATTCAATCTGGTCACGAACATAGGCCTATGGCATTGCACCAAATTCTTGTTTCAAAAACATCTCATCGGTGCTTCAGAACCAAAAAGTTGTGCTTCTTGACTGTTGACCAATGACCAGTCATCAGCATTGGCACGCAAAGGCGGGCGCACATATCCAGATTAGCGACCACAAAGAACTTGTTTAATTTTCTCCGGTTTTGCCTGGCAATTCTTTTCCATATAAAATACAGTTTAGCAATCTGCTACAGACACATCTTTGCCAGGACAATAGGCTACCTGTTGATTTCATTGATCATTTTCGTATTTCAGATGGGCCTAGTTTGTGTGGGTTAATTATATACCTCAGTGGTGGGTAGGCCTACTGGCTATGTGTCTAAAGATAACTGTAAGATCGCACTGCCTTCAATACTTATGGGATGAAGATGTAACGTATTCTGGTGAATGTGACTAAGAAAAAGGCTACAGACAGATCTGTTTCCATCCGGTCCTGCAACCTCCGCTGCATACAGGAAGGCCGTATAATCCTGTTTGCGCTGGACTCCAGAGAAGTGACATGATATCCCTAGTTGATATTGACTGCTAACAGGAATAACTTTCAGCTCAAAATGCAGGTGTGAAACGCAGTTTATTTCTGTATCTTGTTTTTTGAAAACTGTTTGGCTGTAATGACAGGCTATAATGACCCCTTGTCTGTAATTACGTTTGCGAAGCAATTGTGTGCGCGTGCATGTGCGTGCGCATGGGGTCGCAAGCTTTGAAACACTCCTTTTTGGGGGTTGTGGGTCAAAGTTTGAGAACCACTGAGCTAGCGAACAGATTGCTGATTTGTTGTACAGCTATAGGATCGGGTGCAGCAAAACGCCAAATTGTAGAGCCTGGGAGAGAGGATTGCTATAAATATGCAGCTCCCAAAAACAAATGCTGATCAAGAATATTAATGGTTTAATAATTTAATAATATGCCATTTCGCAGACGCTTTTATCCAAAACGACTTACAGTCATGTGTCAATAAATTTTTACGTATGGGTGGTCCCAGGGATCAAACCCACTACCCTTGGCGTTACAAGCGCCATGCTCTACCAATTGAGCTCACCAGCAATGGGGCATCAAGCAACAATTACTAGCATAGGCCTACTGGTCTTTAGGTATGTCAAAAAAAACTTAATAAAAAATATGATTGTGCCCTTATACAATACATAGCCTACCGCATATTACTCATGGCAGAAAAAAACTAAACTGGTTTAAGATGTCTTTGGTACATAATTGGTCTAGCTATACTCCAAAATGAAACAAATTTGAGTAATGGCCTTTGAGTGTGGACTGTATTATTATGCATACCGGATGGACTGGTTACCTTATGCTACGCTTACATTTCTCTCCACGAGTCTGGGAGAGAACTTATAGCCCTAGGCAATGCTGTTGGTTAATTGATTGTGCAAGGCGGGTTACAGTTAGCCTACACTTTATAGTGAATTTGGATTTGGATTTTCATTACCTTTAGCTATACAAAATCTCACCACCATGCATTTCCATCTCCGCTCTCTCCTTTATTCCTTTCTCGAGCGCGCAGAGGAGCTGTCAACAGTTTAGTGAAAGGTTTCATTCGAAAACATGTTACTATCGATGTTCCCGAACAGATGTTACTTGGTTTCCCAAATTAACCACTGGGTAGCTGCAGGAACAGGGTTGGCGAACGAACCCATGGCAAACAGGTTGGAGCCTGGAGTGAAATAAGTGTTCTTATATTTATTTCTCAGCTGCTCATATTAAGCACATGCTCAGCTATAAAACCGAAGTAGCCTACTCCGCATCATAGAAAAACAGACCGGCGGGAAAGTGTCTCCATTCGCTTTTTGAGTGCATACAGAGGACATGTCTTTTTTCCCCTGTTCCTGCCCATTTGATAATGGGCCATTCTAAATGGAAACAAATGTTACATATTGGTAAAGACTAGATTAAATTGAGAATAATCTGATGGGTGAAAATATGATCATTTGATGAGCGAACAGCTGTGCACCCGGAGGCAAGGAACAGCGCGCACGCTTTTTCCCCCACTTTCTCAAATCATCAATAGCTTATAGTCGCATCATGCAGCCCATATGTTTTGATTTCTAAGACACGATCAACATAGCCACTTCATTTGCGCACTCGCTCCGGAATGGGAAAAAATATCCTTTCTATTTTATTCAGCTAAGTTCAGTTATATTCTTCTTAATATAAAATAATGGCACAGGACTTATAAGCATGTCTTGTCAGCTAAATGAACAAGCCTACAGCCTATGGAATGGAGCGTAGCCAGATAACATACAGTAGGCCTGTTCTTCTGAAATATCATAATGTTTCATTAGACCTGAATAAAATAAATGATGGATTTATTGTGATGGTGTATATTACATTGATTTATTAGACTTTTTAAAATGTAGATGTTCCCAAGTCATGCAGGCTTGTATGTGTGGAGGCCTGAAGATGCTAAACGTGTTTATGTTAATAAACGGTCAATTACCGTAAGACCAGCAGTCTTTTGCATGACAATAACCGGCTGACACAATTTCATGATCGCCACAGCCCTGCTCATGAAGCTTGCATTTGGAATTTGTTATTAAATTGAATTATTACATAATCAAAATATGTTGTAGACTGAATAATTAAAATGGCTGTCTGGTAGCCTAGACAAAGATTTGTAGTTGACAAGTCATTGAATGTATAGATTTTTATTTTTTACTTGAGACTTGACTTAAACTTGCTTTTAGAAGGCACGACTCGACCCGTTCTACTTGGGACACTACTTGAGACTCGGACCTTGTGACTGGAGACTTGCTTGTGACTTGAATAATAGTGGCCATGTTCCACCTTTTTGATATTTGGCTTATCTACACTGCACAAAAAAAAAAAAAGTAGGGTTGTGGATCAGAAAACCAGTCAGTATCTGGTGTGACCACCATTTGTCTCATGTAGCGCGACACACCTCCTTCACATAGAGTTGATCAGGCTGTTGATTGTGGCATGTGGAATGTTGTCCCACTCTTTAATGGCTGTGCAAAGTTGACATTGTGGCATTGTGTTGTGACAAAACTGCACATTTTAGTGGCCTTTTATCGTCCCCAGCACAAGGTGCACCTGTGTAATGATCATGCTGTTTAATCAGCTTCTTGATATGCCACAACTGTTAGGTGGATGGATTATCTTGGCAAAGGTGAAATGCTCACTAACAGGGATGTAAACAAATTTGTGCACAACATTTGAGAATAATAAACTGTGTCCCTGGAAAATTTCTGGGATCTTTTATTTCAGCTCATGAAACATGGAACCAACACTTTACATGTTGCGTTTTATATTTGTGATCAGTATAGTTTTTATTCTAAATTGTCTGGGTCCGACATTACAACATCACTATTTTGTATGTGAACTTGTTGTCAAAACATTCATTTCAGATAATGACCATTTGACTGATTGAATGACCATTTTGTCTCTACTATATGCAGTTGGAAGAGGAGGTTGAGGACAAATTTGAGCTGAATATCTCAATAACCAACCCAGAGAAAGTCGGTGAGTTTCACTATATTTGACTGTTTTCTTCCTTTTGTGAAAATGTCACCTATTATGATGAATCCTGCATCAGTGTTGTCATAAATAAAATAACAGCTTCCTCTCTTCAATGCCAGCTGCTTCTCAGTTCCTGGTTCCTCTCCTTCCTTTCTCTGAAGTGAGAGTGAAGGGCGGAGCCAGCAATAGAGCTGTAGATCTGATTTGGTTCTTCACGCCAACTGCTTTTCTAAAGACTTAGACATTTTCTAGTTCTTTTGTGGTAAAGATATTGTAATTTTCAGTGGATGTCATCCAGTACAGTATAATTTATACCCTTTTGTTACTCTGCTTATGATCGCTATCAAACTACCCATATCAATGTGTAATACATGAAGGTAATAAAAATAAAAAATAAAGTAACATACAACAATAAAAGGGGTCAAACCAAGAAGTTTAAAACTGACGTTGGTTTTACCCGCTAATAATTGTCTTTCATTCTGTAGGGGATGGCATGAATGCTTACATGGCCTACAAAGTCTCTACACAGGTAATATTGCTGCAGTCAATTAAACATTTTATAAAAATGTTGCCTTCTTCAGTTCACATAGTGTCATCTTTACCCCTTAGCTAACACTTTGCAACTCCACTCTCCACTCCTCTCACTTTTAGACCACACTGCCCATGTTCCGCAGTAAGACGTTCACGGTGCGCCGGCGTTTCAGTGACTTCTTAGGCCTCTACGAGAAGCTCTCGGATAAACACGCGCTGAACGGCTACATTGTGCCCCCGCCGCCTGAAAAGAGCATTATGGGTAAGCTATAGTATACGCATAATTGGTTACCTTGAGTTAATGTCGCTTTTGGCAGCAAATCAGTCATAGTTCCTCAATGGGAGCCATGCATTTTCCACTAATACCTAAATGACAACAATAACTACAGGGGGCGGGACTTGCCAATGGATCAATTTTGGTTTGTGGGTCTTTTACCTATTGATGTGTTTGTCCTGGTTTTGATGATTGCGTGTGTTTTAGCCTAATTGATTTGTCATGTTTCGGACAGGCATGACTAAAGTCAAAGTGGGAAAAGAGGACAACTCGTCGGCTGAGTTTGTGGAGAGGAGGAGGGCGGCTCTGGAGAGGTACCGTATGAGCTTTCCTCTTGAGGTTTCCTGTATTGGCAAAACCGTGGTGGGTAGCAGCAGACTTGGAATCGTGATCGTATAACTTGCAGATGAGCACATTTAATGAGCCATTCCATAGGGACTTGGTTTGAAAAGGTAGTATGCAAAAGGCTGGTAGGTCAATGAAAAGTTCTGATTAAATGACTCCAATGTAACTGTAGTGAAATGTTTAATTTGTTTGGTTTTGTCATCCCAAAAGGTATCTGCAGAGAGTGGTGTTCCACCCATCGCTGCTACAAGACCCTGATGTCAGAGAATTCTTGGAGAGAGACGATGTAAGCTCGCCGTGTGTATATACCACTCTCACACAAAGATACTGTTTGTCTATCCAACACACACGAGGTGCTTGCCTTGCACTTGACCCATTTAATGTCCCAGGACCTTGCTGTGTCATTATCTGTTAAAATGCTTGACTGGCTTTCTGTTCAATTTTCACATGCTAAGTGAGATATTATCCCAAATTGTTCTGCCTTGTCATACATGTGTGCAGGTGCATCAGGGTTGGGGTCTGATTCAAGAATTTCAGAGCGCCGTCCATTTTCAATGAGGATTTTTCCATAATTGAATTTGTAGCGATTTCAATTGACTGCCTGAATTTAGTGAATTGACCACAAGCTTTTTGCTACGGTGTGCACTAATGAATGTGACCCTGATGTGACTCTTAAGGTGTGTGTGTGTTTTTAGATGCCCAGGGCTCACAACACCCAGGCTCTGAGTGGCGCCGGCTTCCTGAAGATGATCAACAGGGCTACAGACTCCCTCAGCAAGATGACCATCAAGATGAACGAGTCGGACGTGGTGAGTCTCCCTCCACTGACCACTGGGACACACACACAGTCTCTGTTTTACCTCGCCCGTGGCCCCGGTGGCAGTGTGCTTATTTTAAACAGAAATCTCCACCCACCCTGGCGAATGGACCCACCGTCACTAAAACGAATGCACCCACTAACTATCTTGCACAATAGATACAACCATTGCAGCTCTAATGTGCGGTTGCCTGTGTCATGCTGTTACCAGTGGTTCGAGGAGAAACTGCAGGAGGTGGAGGCTGAGGACCAACAGCTGAGGAAGCTCCACATCATGGTGGACTCTCTGGTCGGACACAGGAAAGGTATGGTACAATGGAATAGAATAGTGTTATCGGACAGACTTACAGATGGACACACAAACACACAAGGCTAGAAGCAGTGCATGGCCACCTATTGTGTGTGTGTGTGTGGAATGGAAATATGTCTTCTTGCTGTCTTTTTTCCCACCAAACAATACACACACACAATAGGCTTCAAGCAGCACATAATCTCCTTCCCCCAGAGTTGTCGGTGAACACGGGGGGCTTTGCCAAGAGCGTGGCGATGCTGGGCAACTCGGAGGACAACACGGCCCTGTCCAGAGCCCTCTCCCAGCTGGCCGAGGTGGAGGACAAGATGGAGCAGCTGCACCAGGAGCAGGCGGCCAGCGACTCGTTCTGCTTCGCCGAGCTGCTCGCCGACTACATCCGCCTGCTGGGATCCGTCCGGGTACCAACAGAGAGTCAATGGCTAAAACAGGCTGCGTCTGAAAATGTTACAAGCTGTTCAATCCTTGCTTCCTCGTCCTTGTTTCCTCCATTCCTTGCCACTTTCTCAAAGCACATTGGAGGAAGAGGTCAGAGGTAAGGGCGCTTTGAGAGTGAGGTGAGGAATTGAGGAAACAAGGACTGAGGAAGCAATTTGACTACGATTATGGCTGTTGCGGTGACCGTATTACCGCCACACCAGCAGTCATAAGACATGACATAGTACAATTCCACGTGACTGTTGAGTCACGGTAATCTCCTCTTATGCACTCTGGACATGTGTTGGTAGTACCCAACTTGCTAATGACCGTCAGGTCCTAATGGGCTGGTGGTCAGGGCTCTATTGTCCCTCTAACCACTGACATCAATGCAAATGCAATCGAAAATCACATCAAACACTTATCAAAACAGTATCATGATTTCAAAGCTTACCTCACTGTGATGATCAATTTGAAGAAAGACGTTCAACAGCAGGTTGAAAGTGTAAAACATGGTCCTTGTGGATGTTGTTTCAAATCCTAACACAACAAAATGGACAGGGCTTTCTAAGGTGATGATTAATTCAAAACACTCATACGCATATTAGAGCTTATGCATAGGGCCGGAAAAAAACACTGAATTAATTATGATTGTGCTGTTATACAATACATAGTCTACTGCATATTACACATGGCAGACAAACATAAAACAAAACTGATTTATGATGTCTTTGGTACATAATTGGTCTAGCCTATACTCTAGCCTATAATCGACTGAGTGTGGATTGTTATTATGCATACTGGATGGACTGGTTACCTTGTGTATGCTACGCTCCAAAATGTCTATCCACGAGTCTGGGAGAGAACGTATAGCCCTAGGCGATGCTGATGGTTAATTGATTGTGCAGGGCAGCTTACAGTTAACCTACAATTATAGTGAATTTGTATTCGATTTTGAATTGCCTAGTCATAGGGATTTTTTTATATTTTCAAAATTGGGTGACATTACCTTTTAGCTAAACAGAATCAAACCACCATGCGTTTCCATCTTCTCTCCCTCCTTTATTCCTTTCTCGAGCGCGCAGAGGAGCTGTCAACAGTTTAGTGAAATGTTTTATTTTGCGAAAACATGTTACTATCGATGTTCCCGAACATTTCACTTGGTTTCCCAAATTAAGCACTGGGTAGCTGCAGGAACAGGGTTGGAGAGCCCATGGCATACAGAGTTTGAGCGGAATATTGGGCCTCCCGAATGCAGGTGCTGCTACAGCCTGGGGTTCGATCCCAGGGAGCCCCATAGTGCGGTGCAGAGTTAAGAAGCAGCACGGCTTGGCAGGTCATGTTTTGGAGGACGCGTGTCTTGACCTTCGCCTCTCCCGAGGCCGCTGAGGAGTTACAATCTTCTCATCGCTGCAACTATCAATTGGATATCACAAAAATTGGTAAAAAAATGTATTATGAGTTTGAGCGGATTAAATTGAGAATAGTGAAAATATGATCACTTGAGAGAACAGCTGTGCAGCCTGAGGCAAGGAACAGAGCGCACTTTTTTTTCCGACTTTCTCAAATCATCAATAGCCTATAGTCGCATCAATCAGCCCATATGTTTTGATTTCTAAAGACATTAAGGTTTGTATCATTCACAACTAAAGTTGCTAAATACCTCTAAATCAAGCGTATAGGACCTGTTTCAAATGATCACTTTTACGCTCAATATAGCCACTTCATATGCGCACTTGCTCTGGAATGGGAAAAATATCCTTCCTATTTTATTCAGCAAAGTTCAGTTATTCTTACTATAAAATCATGTAATATATACTGAACAAAATATATATGTAAAGTGCTGGTCCAAAAAGCTTCTCTAAAATGTTATGCACAAATTTGTTTACATCCCTGTTAATGAGCATTTTATCCTTTGTCAAGATAATCCATCCACCTGACAGGTGTGGCATATCAAGAAGCTGATTAAAAAGCATGATCAATACACAGGTGCACCTTGTGCTGGGGGGCAATAAAATGCCACTAAAATGTGCAGTATTGTCATACAACACAATGCCACAGATGTTTCAAGTTGAGGGAGTGCGTAATTGGCATGCTGACTGCAGGAATGTCAACCAGAGACGTTGCCAGAAAATGTTATGTTAATTTCTCTACCATAAGCCTCCTCCAATGTCATTTTAGAGAATTTGGCAGTGCCCAGTTATGGGAAATCCATAGATTAGGGCCTAATGAACTTATTTAAATTGACTGATTTCTTTATGAACTGTAACTCAGCTAAATCTTTGAAATTGTTGCATGTTGCGTTAATATCTTTGTTCAGTATACAATAATGGCACGGGACTTTAAGCATTTGTCAGCTAAATGAACAAGCCTATTGCATGGAGCATAGCCAGATAACATACAGTAGGCCAACTCATATTCTGTTCTTCTGAAATCCATTTTCTTCATATGTTTCTTTAGACTTGACTAAAATAAATAAATACTTTTTTGTGATGGTGTATATTAAATTGATGTATTACTTTTTTTTAAATGTAGCTGTTCCAAAGGCATGAAGGCCTGTATGCGTGGAGGCCTGGTGATGCTAAACGCGTTTGTTAATTAACGGTCAATTACTGTGAAACCGTCAGTCTTTGCATGACAATAACTTGGCTGACAAAATGTCATGACCGCCACAGCCCTAATAAGAGTAACGTTTTCAGTCGCAGCAATAGGCAACGCACCATAATAACGGTCACCCTGAGATGAGAACGTTTTAAACAGTGTGTGTGTTTCTGTCCTCAGGCCTCCTTTGACCAGCGGATGAAGGCGTGGCAGCGCTGGCAAGATGCTCAGAACATGCTGCAGAAGAAGAGGGAGACAGAGGCCAAGCTGCTGTGGGCCAACAAGCCTGACAAGCTGCAGCAGGCCAAGGATGAGATCACTGAGGTAGAGCGCTGCCCAACACCTGTACTGCCCAATACCTTCTGTCTCTCAGGGTTGTTCATTAGGTACCAAATGGAAGAAAACAAACTGGAAAGGGAGGGAATACAGACTTTTCCAATAAATGATTATAATTGTGTTTTTCCGTTGTAAAGCATTTTCTGTATCGTGCCCTAATGTCTCAGAGTTAAACACACGGTCAGGAAGTTCTGTCCCCTGTTGCAACCAGACCAAGTACATACACAAACCACGTGACACAAAAGTCACTGTTTGACTCATGCCAATAAAATGAACCCGTTCCTCTTACTTTCAAAGACTCTCCCCCTCAGTCCTCCAAAAAGTGATGGCATCACTTTTTACCAGAAATTTAACTTGCAGATTGTGCCTTTCACCCATTGCCCACCACTAGAATGTTTCTCAACATTGATCCTTTGGATCCACTGTGTATACTGGATTTGACTCCCAACTGTACACTCATTAGCATACAAACCAAATGGTAACCTAAAGGGAAGTAAGTGTGCATTGCTTACATGCCAACTCAACTGTGCCTCCTTTCTCAACTCCTCTCTTTCCTAGTGGGAGGCCAAGGTGACTCAGTACGAGAGAGACTTTGACAGAGTGTCTGCTACAGTTCGCAAGGAGGTGCTCAGGTTTGAGGTAAGTCATTTTTCTTCTGGCGGGTTAGGTGCTGGATAAGACAGAGACTAGAAAAACACAGTGTATTATCTGGGTTGTAATTTTTTTCTTACAGAAAGAGAAGGCTCGAGATTTCAAGAAACAGATCGTCAAATACCTGGAGTCTCTGCTGCAGTCACAGCAACAGGTACGTTTCTGCTCACTGGGCCTGTATTCATAAAGTGTCTGATCTAGGGTACATTTAGCCTTTTCATTTGGACAGGGGTATTTGAGCCTATATAAGCACATACTGAGACATGATTTGAATATGGACCTTGCTAAATAAAGACTGGGTCAGATACACATTACATAGTGCATGAGGTATTTGGTACATTAAGGCCGTTTCCCACGGCAAGAATATCTGAATTGTTTTGGGAACATGGTTGATAATGTTCTTGTACTTCTCTTCCCTCTTCTCTTTTTAGCTGATAAAGTACTGGGAGGCATTCTTGCCAGAGGCAAAAGCAATTGCGTGATGGAGTCCGCTGGCCAATGGAAAGAAAGAAGAGGAGGAGGATGCCTTTTTAATACACTTTACCTCTCGCCTATAAACCAAGAAAATAACCCGAGAGTGCGCTGCAAAGGGAAGAATTAGATACAATAGTCGTTTTTTTTTCAATCATCCTAAACCTATATCTCTTCATTCTAACTGTTGTATTAGTAATTGTATATTTTCATTTAACCTTCCACATATATTTTCTAAATGGTGAAAACAAACTTTAGCTCTTTTGTGATGGTATGGATGCGTGTGAGGGCTGGGTGTCCTACTTGTGAATGCAACTTGAATGATTCCATTAGTTTCCACTTCAGATGAGGAGAAATCATTGTTCTCATTGTTAATATAAGGATGTTGCACTAAGAGGAGATTTTTACACATCAGCATTGTTAATCATTTACAACAGAGTGCCCATCACACAAAACAGATGACACACTAGGCAGAGTTTCTGGGGCTTTCAAGGGGACCTAGTTGAATGAAATGCCCAATTCCAAATCAAACACCAGCACCCTACTCCCCATGCACAGAACATCCACCTAGTCTTCCAAAAGACTGAGTTATTCCTACATTCCTATTGTGGCTGGAGGCCCATTTGGACACATGTGGAGCCACATTCAGCCTGTATAGTTTGGGAGGATCTTGAGATGTTTAATCACACGTCAGTAAAATTTCTCCATTTTGAGTGTCTAAAACCTTTTACATGATCGGTTCAATCACTGTGGACATGACATTAACCCTCCAAAATAAATGTAAAGAAAATAAGAACCATACTAAAAAAGGTTGATAAGTGTGAAAAATAATGTAAAAAGTTGAAACCACGCCAGTAACTGGTAAAAGTACTACTGGTCTGGCCTCCTGAGGCTGTTCTGTTACATGTTTAGACAATAACACACACCCCTCATGGATTTGGGAGTTGGTTTAGCACCTTGCGGTTGTATATGGTTTGCTGTGATCTGTACTTTACAGTAGGTCAAGTAGGCTCTCTGCACCCCTTGAGGCACTGGTAATACAGTGGGAAAAACACGTTGTCATTAATTTCAGTGGAAGCTGTCTTTATCTAACAGTTATTGCAGATTGTGTGATTATTTTGTGGATGGATGGCATTGGATTTGGGGGGGGGGGGGGAGAGATTAAACTGTTTTTCAGGGAAATACTCATACATGGCAATCATATCTTCTTAACATGCATTGTAGTTTTCACTTTGCATGCAGTTGATGCATGAGGAACCACATCCATTGAAATGATCAACTACCTGTTTTCTATGTGGAACAGAGTTGTGACATGGTGTGTTACTTTCCCAGAACAAAAGGTATGGGTCTTTCATTCAGTAGACTAGATAGTAATACAGTTGGGTTGGTCATTCTGGTTGAGTGAAACCTCCTGGACCTTGGGCAAACAGTTGATCATGACTTGTTGGTTCAGATTAGAGCCATGTATAGGCTATATACATATGACTCAGACTAATTGATATGCACAGAAAAAATAGATTAAGATCATGTTTTGACAGCAAGTCCACAAACCACAGTAACCCTATGCAATAGACACTTGCTTGGCAATTCCAATTGATTACACTGTGCAAATATTAGCTGCTTGTGCAGTGACACTTCAACTCTGTACAGTAATGTCAACTGTCATGTCAAGGGAATCCCTTTGAGAAAGTGGTTGGCTGTTTATTTTCCTGTTGTAAGTAGAGCAACTGTTTGATGTGGAACCCAAACCATACATTCAAATTGTACATTCTTATAGTTCAATGGGCATTTTAAAGCCAACCTTACCCCCCTTCACCAGAGGTTGATATAGATCAATTCATTCATTAATTCATATATGTGTCTGAAATATGGAATTTCAGCGCATTGATTATGTAAAGGATCATCCCACATTCACTCAAGGCTGGTCCTCAAGACACTTGGGTCAAACAACATCACCTGTTAAGATTAAAGATGCACAAATCATAATTGTAGTAGTCGAGAAACACAAGCAAGACTATGTATGGGATTGTGGGATGTAAACCATAGCTAGGTCAATTTCAACCTGGCAGATGCTATAGACTGGTTGTTTAGCAACAAAATGACGCGTGTGCACGATGAGCACTCATACATCATTACAGTTGTTGGCTATCTAGCTAATTTTTTCCATATTAGCATAGACGTTACATGTCAAAATACCGCAAAACAAGACATGGTAACAAGAAAACGAGCCACCTACGATTCTCCACACGGCAGCTTCTTGTCATTGTTGCTAGCTATCTGGCCATCCAGAATCACAACACACGGACTTCTGTCCCATTGCGCATCGTTTGTGACGTTGTCAGCTAACCCTTCTATAGTGTGATTCAAATGCTTCTTTCTTCTCCTTGGCCTAACTTGTTGGGATTGATTTTATTATAGAACATACAATATATTGAGATGGTTTTCTGTATATGTTTTTGTAAGCCATAAGCCAATACACATCACGTTTCTTCCATCTTTGTATTCCCACTTTGAGAGAGACAGATAATTGGTTAAGGTGGAAACAAATAAATAAATCAATGTTATACTTTTACATATAAGGCAACACATTTCCAACACACTCTCTTAATGCTGCTGTTCAAATCAATTATCCATTTGTTATGATGACATAGTCCTATTAATCGATCCCACTTCTAACATCAATTTATCTATTTTGGATTAGCATGTTTTTTTGTTTTTTTCAAAACTCATAATTGCGATGAAGGCTACACAACAGATGATACCGAATGGAGACGTTTGTAATTCAACTCTTTAGTTGGTAGCTCAGACACCAGTTGTTTTTTTAACTGCCATAAATTATGGGAAATAAAGTTGTAAAAAAAAAAAAACAGTTGTCAAATCACCCGTTTTTTTATATGCCCCCTCCTTGTGCGATACATATATTGTTGTACTGTATTCTGGAGTTCCTGTGGTAAATCAAATCAATTTTATTTGCCACATGCGCCGAATAAAACAGATGTAGACATTTAGTGAAATGCTTACTTACAGCCCTTAACCAACAATGTATTATTTTTTTAAAGAATAAAAGCAAATAACTAAAGAGCAGCAGTAAAATAACAGTAGGGAGGCTATATACAGGGGGGTAATGGTGCAGAGTCAATGTGCGGGGGCACCGGCTAGTCGAGGTAATTGAGGTAATATGTACATGTGGGTAGAGTTAAAGTCACTATGCATAAATAATAGAGTAGCAGCAGCGTAAAAGAGGGGGGTGGGGGGGCAGTGCAAATAGTCCGGGTAGCCATGATTAGCTGTTCAGGAGTCTTATGGCTTGGGGGTAGAAGCTATTGAGAAGCCTTTTGGACCTAGACTTGGCGCTCTGGTACCACTTGCCGTGCGGTAGCAGAGAGAACAGTCTGTGACCAGGGTGGCTGGAGTCTTTGACAATTTTGAGGGCCTTCCTCTGACACAGCCTGGTATAGAGGTCCTGGACGGCAGGAAGCTTGGCCCCAGTGATGTACTAGGCCGTACGCACTACCCTCTGTAGTGCCTTGCGGTCGGAGGCTGAGCAGTTGCCATACCAGGCAGTGATGCAACCAGTCAGGATGCTCTCGATGGTGCAGCTCTAGAACTTTTTGAGGATCTGAGGACCCATGCCAAATCTTTTCAGTCTCCTGAGGGGGAATAGGCTTTGTCGTGCCCTCTTCACGACTGTTTGGACCATGATAGGTCGTTGGTGATGTGGACACCAAGGAACTTGAAGCTCTCAACCTGTTCCACTACAGCCCCGTCGATGAGAATGGGGGCGTGCTCAGTCCTCTCTTTTTTCCTGTAGTCCACAATAATCTCCTTTGTCTTTGTCACGTTGAGGGAGAGGTTGTTGTCCTGGCACCACACGGCCAGGTCTCTGACCTCCTCTCTATAGGCTGTCTCGTCGTTGTCGGTGATCAGGCCTACCACTGTTGTGTCGTTGGCAAACTTAATGATGGTGTTGGAGTCGTGCCTGGCCATGCAGTCATGGGTGAACAGGGAGTACAGGAGGGGACTGAGCACGCACCCCTGAGGGGCCCCCGTGTTGAGGATCAGCGTGGCAGATGTGTTGTTACCTACCCTTACCACCTGGGGGCGGCCCGTCAGAAAGTCCAGGATCCAGTAAAGCATTGGCCCACGTGTTCTCTGTCTTAAAAGGTCAAATTTGATCTCTATCAAATTATTTCTGTAACAATTAAGTACCGTATTGTAATTGTTTTAAAATGGTCAAAAAGAAACAAAGATTCTTAGCCAAAAGCAAGTTCTCAAGCAAGAATAGGACTGTCTGGAAGTAGTCTGAGTTGGGAGGGGAAAACTAGCTGTTATTGGCAGAGATGTTTGGAACTCTCTTCTTGGTCTATTAACTAATTTAGCTCATGGTGATGTCTCCAGGCAGGCCAAAAACTCCATCCCACCAGGCTGAAATTTCAGTCTTTTCAAACAGCTCTTACACAAAAAGGGCATCATTCACAATTTCACAGTATTATTCCAACCTCAGTGTGAAAATATACATTGAGTATACAAAACATTAGGAACACCTTCCAAATATTGAGTTACCCTCAGAACAGCCTCAATTCGTCAGGGCATGGACTACAAGGTGTCGAAAGCGTTCCACAGGGATGCTGGTCCATGTTGACTCCAATGCTTCCCACTGTTGTGTCACGTTGGCTGGATGTCGTTTGGGTGGTGGATCATTCTTGATAAGCTCCCGAGTGGTGCAGCGGTCTAAGGCACTGCATCTCAGTGCTTGAGGCGTCACTACAGACCCCCTGGTTTGATTCCAGGCTGTATCACAACTGGCTGTGATTGGGAGTCCCATAGGGCAGCGCACAATTGGACCAGCGTCGTCCGGTTTTGGCTGGTGTAGGCCGTCATTGTAAATAAGAATTTGTTCTTAACTGACTTGCCTAGTTAAATAAAGGTTCAATAAAAAAAATTACGCACACGGGAAACTGTTGAGTGTGGAAAAACCCAGCAGCGTTTCAGTTCTTGACACACTCAAACC